TGACCTGATTGACCCTGAAACACATGAACTTCGTGACCAGCAGCTTTGGTCTTGAGTAAAGCGCAGTCCCCATGGCTAAGAGCAGTTACGTGTGGAGCAAGGGTTCATGTGAAGTGCCAGAGAGGTGACAGACACAAGACGCTCGTGCTCAGTCAGTGTGCTCTCCAAACGGAGAGACAAAACCTTTTCATCTTCCCAGTTGTGCAAACCTCGTATCCACGGCCAACCCTAAACCTACTTCAATCACTTAGAGTGGTGTCAAGTCCCAGTTTTCCCCTAAATCAGTATCTGCTGTGGGCGGCCCGGCCCTCGGAACAGCACAGTAAGTATTAGTCACAGTTGGGACACTGAACAAGTAAACAATTAGTGGAACAAGATGCTGTCAAGTAGGGATCTATACGGGGAAGTGGGCAGGGTGGCGTGGAGGAGAGCGGCTATCGAGGGCAGGAAGGCCTTTCTCCAGAGGTGGCACTTGACCTCAGCTGAGTGATGAGAACAGCCTGGTGACGATCTGGAGTGAGGGAGCTCCGCGTGGAGGAAGTGGCAGCCCAGAGCCCTGGGCAGATGAGCCCAGTGTGTACGACCAGAGGCCAGGCCAGGGAGGCTGGAGTGTGGCAGCTGCAGGCAACGAGGCCGAGGGGGTTGGAGAGCCAGGGTCCAGGCTGTGAACAGGAGTGCATACTCTAATAATGCTTGTGGTCACTTGAAAGCGTCAGCGAAGCTGTTTCTTGCTCTTATCAGCAAGTGGTCTTTACAGAGATTTGTTTGGTGAGGAAGATCTGACTTGTGGATATTGGTCTTGACAGGATGTGCCAGACATCAAGCAGGACTCTAAAGGGACCTTTGCAGACTCCTGTGGACTTGGACACTGACTTGAAGCCTTGAATGATGGACTCTTTTCCCTCCTTCACAGGGAAGACCACTGGGATCCCCATCCACGTGTTTGGCACCGAGACTCACATGACAGCCATTGTAGGCATGGCCCTGGGCCACCGGCCCATCCCCAATCAGCCGCCCACTGCTGCCCACACTGCAAACTTCCTCCTCAACGCCAGTGGCAGCACATCGGTAGGTGTCGCGGCCTCTACCTTAAGGCCTGCCGTGCCATCTGTGTCGGCCCTCACACCATCATCCCATCCAGGACTTGGGACCCCCACTCTGTCCGTAGCCATTTGGGGACACTGGAGAAATGTCAGGGGAAGTAGTACATGGTTGGTGTCTGGATCTGTGGCAGCTTTTTTCTGCACCAGTCAAGTTAGTATAATGGAAAGACCAGAGGTTTTTAAATCAGTCCTGAGTTCAAATTCCGCTGAGGGAGGGACCTTGGCAGTTGTCGTGCACACCCAGAGCCTCAGTTCTCGCGCCTGTAGCATGGAGAAAATACTAAGTCCTATCTCAGAAGCTTGTTAGCATAGGGCTTTTGGAAGCAGCTTGTAAGAACAGTGCTGTACTTAGTTCTTGTTACCCGATTTCTTTGGGGCCTTAAGGACCAATGGCTTTTTTCCATTGCTACCTGTGACTCTTCCTCCCTCTCCTTGTCCCACCCCAGACTCCAGCCCCCAGCAGGACCGCGTCTTTTTCTGAGTCCAGAGCTGATGAAGTGGCACCTGCAAAGAAGGCCAAGCCTGCTGTGCCACAAGGTAACTCCCAGCGGTTTTGGACTGTCCCTGTTCCCCTTCCCTTTCCAGGCCCTGCTGGGCCAGCAGAGGTGATGGAAGGCGTTTGGGCTTTGCTGGGAGAGTGGAGTGGGCATCGTGCGTGGAATGGGAACAGACGTGAGGATGTGCTGAGCCCTCCCCACGGGCTCTCCTGGTGCTGAGGACCCACGCTGCACCTGGGCCACCTCATCCCCACTGTCTTCTCTTCCACGTCCTTCCTTCCTGTGGATGTGTGCGAGCTGGGCAGACAGGCTGCACAGGAGCCAGGGCTACAGAAGTCCCAGGAGGTGGGACGGTCTCCCAGACTCTACTCCTCAGTGGAGGGCAGGAGCCTGGAGCTCAGGATGGCACAGCAAGCTCCCATCCAGCGGTAGTGCCCACCCACCCCACCTTCCTGGGGCTCCTACAAAGACACTCCCTTCCTGTGAGTCCACCAGAAGAACACACGCTGTTCACCAAGCTGCTTATACTTGGCCTACTTCGTCTCCATCCTCTGATTCATCAAAGACGGGATCCCTGGCCGGCCAGCCCTTGGCAACCAGTGTTCAGTAACCAGAGTTAGTCACCACTGGGCTGGGGTGGCCCATGCACCCTCTCTTCCTGGTATAGACAGTGTGCCTAAGGCATTTTATGAACTAGTGACACTGGGTCTAGACACTTGAGATAGGAAGCCACTACCCTGCATTCCCCACACCCATTGCACAGAATGACAGGTCTAACCCCAGGCTGGTCTAATCATGTTATGCTTCATGGGGACAAAATGGGATTGGCATTAAGAGGCTGGGACCGGGCCAGCTGTCCCCTCAGAGGACATGTTCAGCGTACCCTCCTAGCCTTCATGCCCCTTCTGCCCCTCTCTCTGCCCACTTTGGTCCTTTGCCTTTCCTTGCTTCTGCTTTGCTGATGGGTGCTGTCTCCTCTTCTGGCTTTACTCCTCTCTCTTGTGGATTAGATGACAGATGGTAAGGGCATCAGCCCTGCCAGGCTTGTCCATGGGACCCTTCCCTGTTCCCACCCTCCTCCTCCAAAGCCTCTGGCCATCAGCAGGTCACTCAGTTGCCTTGGTCATTTTCTTTGACAGATTCAGTCCCAAGTCCAAGATCCCTGCAAGGTAGGACGCCCCTGCCCCGCCCGACTACATGTGGCTTGTTAGCGGGTTGCAGTCTTAACCGTGTGCTTTGTTTCCCCCTCCCCGGTGGGTTGCAGTGTTGTCTGGTATTCTGTCCCTGCCTTGGTGTGGCTTGCCCCCAAGTCCTAGTCTTTGCTATCCCTTCCTTCCC